GAATATATGAGGGAAAAAACAGAACTAAAGTGTGAGGAGGATATGAGCCTATTACTGAGAGTTAAGGCTGTGATCTTGTTGTGGGTATTGCTAGTGATTAATAGAGTCATGGTTCCATTCAGAAATGTATATTACGATTTAAGTCAATAATAACAAACTAGCTGACCTGATATGAATGTTTAGTTTACATGTGGTTGGTACAGTGAATATGGCATGGGTGCTGTAAGAAACAGGCGGTCATATATGTAGTTAGAGTCTCACAATGTGTTTGTATGAGTGAGTAAACTGAAGATAGTTGGACAACATTAGTTTTGTATTTCCCAACCCTAGGTTGCTTTATGAGGTTGATGTGGAGAATTGTGCATTGGGTGTGTGTATACACGTTATTGCTGAAGTAGATCTTTGTAAGCTTTCATGTAATCGAGTTTTGTTTTCTTTCCCCTTGTAGTCATGTTAAAGTTCTTATAATGTCATGCCTACTTCTCCCTTTAGGAGATCGTTATCTTTGCTTGAGGCTTCAACTTGAGATGTGTTTTCCATCAGAGCATCCAGTTTAGCTTGAAGCACTGGTTCTTACCCAGTTTACTTGTCCTTGGGCATTTTAGCTTATCTTAGAGATAAGGGTTGGTAGTCCAGGAACGAAGTAATGAAGCGTGCAAGGTCAGCTACCACAGTAACAAGAGTTAGAACTGACCTGACACTAGCAGCACATCTTTTCATCCACGCCTTTTAGTTTCTCCACTTTTGATCATTTTACTCAGAAAGGAAACTAACTAGCTACCTCTTGACTGTTTATCCTTCCTTTATACTTTTCTGTAAGATGTAAGCCACATCTGTTTCTTACTAGTCATTTGATGTTCACTTCTAACAGGGAAAATACTTTATTTTTTTGGAGCCTTTCCTCTGCTTTGTTATTCATACTGTGATACTTCTCTTAAATGCTTTCCAAGATGTGAAATCAACGTGTTTATCAAAAGCAAAACCCAACCACTTTATTTATCTGAATCCTGTCAGCTGCTGAACAGGAATGTCAAGACAGAATGATGATGAGTTTTTATTAACATTAATAGGTTTATAAAGGATTAATCAAGCTAGATATGTTCAATTTTTTAAGTAGTTTAAATATGGAGGTGAAGCGATCCAGTAGATTCTAAAATCAGAAGAACAGATGCTTTTTTAAATAAAAAAAAAAATAAAAGAACCACCCACCCCCTCTCCTCTCCTTAACACCAAACTTTGGTATTGGAGTATGGGTACATTAGCTATTAAATGGACTAATTACCCTTGAATTTTTGCAAAATGAATTCAGTCTTTGCTGGATGACAACATTTTCAGAGAGCGTGTGGGTTTGAAGCAGCAGAAGCTGACATCACTCCCAGGTCTTAGCACGAAACACCAGAGGTGCACCGTGCTTGCCTGTAGGTACTGATGTTGCAAAGATGAATTCTGATTCTGAGTCAGGGTTGCTTTGTGATGTCCCTAGCTGGTTTTATGTGATGCTTTTCTTTCTTTTCTTTTTCAAGGAACAGGGAATTGTAAATGCAAGTTAGATTTTATTTTTTTTTTAGTAATATCCTTATTTTTTTGAAACAATAGCCACAAAGTTGTTTGTTCAGACTCAGTGAAGAAAAAAAAATCTTCCTTGCCCAGCAGTACCAAAGTTCTTTCTCCAGAACGACATCCTCTTTGCCCTGTTTTGAGCCAACCCAGAGCTGCTTCTCTCCGTCTTGATCTGTTACACACAGACTCTGCTAGTAATTTCTTTTCTATTTTGTTTAGTTAATTCTTGCTCAGGTCTTGCTGCATGGTCAGCAACCTTTCCAGTCTTTGTTTATCTCTGCATAAAAGGGGCTTAATTTACTTCACTTAGAAATTTTTTTTATGTACTCTTTCACACTTTATTAAGCAATTTATTATGTAGATATACTTAACACATGGTGTGTTTTGCATATGTGTAAACTTTAGTCAGGTGTATCCCAGGATGCTTAGTGTCTGCCACAAATGCTTTCTATGCGAGTTCATCTTGTAGCATTAGGAGTATACAGTGCTGTGATATTGCCGTGTGCCTTTGTACTGTTAATGCTTAGGGTCCATTTGTCCATTTCGCTTTTTGTGGCAATCATTTGGACAGTCATCCATTTCCTACAAGTCCCAGTATCGTCTGTCCCAGGTTCTGCCTGTCTGTGCCAAAATGTCTTAATTTGGGTAATTAGGTTTACCTTTATAATCTTGGCAAAGAAGTAGTTTGAGCATAAAAACGGCAAGACTACCGGGTGACTTCAAGGTTAATTTTTCGGGCTAGCTGGGGTAAATTTTGTACCTGCAAGCATTCATTCATTTGGGGTGTGTAAGCATGTGTGCATCTATCTCAGTGGGTTGTTGGAAGCTTTATTCACAGTTGTGGTGGAGCATCGGGATTGAGCATCTGAAAGAAATGTAATTGCTACTTATATTGGAGAAATAAACACAATTTTAGGGGTTTCTTTTGTTGAGCATCTGGGAAATAACAAGGAGAGTGAAATCAATACAGGTGGTGATAAAACTTGAATTACTGCAGTTCGGCGTACATGGCACGTTAGTACTAAGACATAATCTTGCCAGAGGACACAGGTGAATGGATTCATTTAAAATGAGCAGAAACCGTTTGTTTCCGCTCACTTGTTGAATGTAGGTGCGTTTCTGAACATTAAACATGAAATTGTCATCTCTCTCTTTTTTTCAGTGTGTTGATTATTTTATGTACTATGGAGAGTCTCCTGGTTAACATGCTGGGTGTATCCCTAAACACCCAAAGAAGTATTAAACATATGC